CTGAGTCACATATCCAGTCAACCCACAGCGCTCACGCGAGCCAACCAATCGGACACACATCCAATTAGCCACTCAAGTCACACGTCAGATCGATGGTGGGACGACGAACGGACACGCACACGCGCTAAATCTCGGACACACCGAAGCAGCCACTACGGTCTGTTAGTGTTAGTAGCTAATTTTTATGTATACTATAACCGTAGACGAGGTGTTCTTTAGAAACTTCAATATAATTATCACATATGCTGTGAACAACCAACGCAAAGTTGCCAGAATAATTTGTGTTCCTTTTGAGTAAATGCAGAGCGGTCAAAACGTCAATACCACTCGTTCGTAATAAACACAAGCCAAACTGAGGGCTGAAATGTCAGTTCTTCGGCTAATAAAAAGTCGAGAGTGGATTACTTTACCGTTCACTTTATTGTTTGGGCGTTTGCCGCACACGGATTATGTCGTCGTATTGTCATGGGATGCATACTGCAAAAAATTAGAGAAATCGTTAAGCTTAGCAGCCTTTTGGGCAAAAGGTTTCAAACAAGTTTATAACGATTGATTTACCCCATTCATTTGTTTTCGAAATTGCATTGGGAAGATGGAAAGTGAGCTGTATCAACACGGTGGATGTTTGGATCACCCAGCTCACCATTTTCTCCTCAGTAATGACAACTAGCAAAATGCAGTCAGCGTGCTGATAACAAGAGAACAATGCGTTGAAACCTACCATTGATTACAGCACCCAACATTTTGAAACGGCAGTTCGCTGTAGTCTATGAAATCAAGAAAAACGCAGTTTCGACCTACATGTCCCAAATCGGAAAGTAATGGAGACTTCTAAGTAGTGTGTACACTAGGATGTTAAAAGGGTGGCCTAAACTGCGGAAACAGTGAGGGTTGTATTGATAACTTGGATGAACCTGACAGTTGAATTGTAAACGCTCAATCACCAATCGCAGTGACATCATCAACCCCTCACTGGCTGCTTCCTTGATTGTTGATGAAACACTTGCCAACCAAATACCTAGCTTGGCGAACAGAACAGAGACCAAGCAGTACCATTGAAATAACTATATTCCAAAACATTGCCTCTCAGATGGACTTTCGCAAGAAGTAAACGTTAATGAATTGTCAAAACCAACCTCAAGAAAAATATGGTCACTTAACCAAAGCGTCCATTACGTTTACCGCGTTTAGAACTCTTCAATAACCATAGTCCGACGAGGCCATATGATCCTCTGGTAAGTACTTTCAAGCAGTTAGTCTTGGGATTTTCGACCGGATATCAAGCTCAAAATCCATGCTGATCATCAAGCCCACACCAAGAACTGAATAGTCGGATCGCTTGATTAAGTCAACAGCTAGTTGGAGTAGGCTGTATTTTTTAAATCCCGTCGTAGATCCAAACCACATGGTCAATAGCATCAAACAACATTGGAAACAACTGATGAGATGTTGACCTATCAATTCAAACCGCCGGTTCCGTGTTGTTTACTTCTGTTTAGTTCACTCAATTTTACCAGCTATAAACCGCACACCGAAGGTACACCGATTCCTGTGTCTGGATTGGGGCGCCGAAAAATGGAGAACCAGGGGAGATATAGCCAAAAGTTGGTGGTAGTTCACATTGATTCACTCTAGCTAGACGAAGGGACGGGAAACTGAGAGCTAACCAATGAAAGCGATATATCTGACTCAACAATGCCGTCATCTGCATGACTGAATTATGTTTTTCAGCAGGGTGATGAGGAAGCTTCGCAAACGTTCCACTTTATGGTCAGCTAAGTAAAGCTATCGGAGTGTGTGCTCCTGACATGTATTTGCGGTGGAAAAGCTTGTATCCAGAATCATGGGTGATGACATTTAGATTGCTTTCCTAATAAGCAGCACTATAGTGGTAGTGTTATTTCTTTTTCATGACTCGGCGCATAACATCCTCCATAATTTTTGAACGTGGAATCGTAACATCTCTCCCTGTAACATTTTATTCCGCTTAATCCCACAGAAGAACTGCATAGACGGCCTGGAAGTTGACCCGCTTGCACTGCCAAAGCTAACAGCACTAGACCTGTCCTGCAACCGTATATCCACTCTAACAAGACTGGGAGGACCATACACTGCTTTAAAAGAGCTGAATATGTCCACAAACCTGATTACTCGTCTAGGTAGGTTGAGTAAATTATGAAAAAAAGGCTGCAAATATGTAAATTTATCCGTATTTTGAATCAGATTATTCCACCGTAAATTAACCACGCCGTTTTAAAGAAACATAGAGACAGACTCAACCCAGTGCTTGTGGGTTGTAAACCAAGCATAATAAACCTGAATTACTCGTCAGGTAGGTTGAGTAAATTATGAAAAAAAGGCTGCAAATATGTAAATTTATCCGTATTTTGAATCAGATTATTCCACCGTAAATTAACCACGCCGTTTTAAAGAAACATAGAGACAGACTCAACCCAGTGCTTGTGGGTTGTAAACCAAGCATAATATGTACAACAGATGGTGACCGCAAAAGATGACATTTACAAATAAGAGTTCGCTTTACCTCACAAAGTCCAAGTCCATATTCAATTTGAATGATACTGTGGAACCAGTTCTGTGGTTTCGGACCACTTTTCTATCCCCGAACAGCCGTCGAAAAAATAGCCCACAATCTTAGCTACTTTATGCTGATCTGGTGAAGATTCTCGCGGGATTTTTGGACCCTGAAGGTATCGTTGTTCCTTTCTGGCTGTATTACGGTAGCATTCTTCGAAATGTCGGCAAGATGGTCAGCCTTACATTAGTCCAGTATTTTTTATGGCATCCTAAAATATTTTATGCCATTTATATCATTTACTGAATCCCCCGTTTCCAACTCTTCGGTAATGAAGAAAACTACCCACAATTTTTTTGTGTTTGACCGGAGAGAGCGACCTCTGTAGTTTCTTCGAATACAGTAACAAAAGTGTGTTGTACTGACGTAATAATTTCCTTAAAGTAACAAACCTCAGTTGGTCACTCAAAACACCAGATAAAACTGTCATAGGATGAATTGCGAACTTTCCAAAGAGAAAGGCCTGCGAAGACTGATACCTACGTAGTTAACGGCGTTAGTTTTTTATTCAAAGGGTAGGGGGTTGAAGGCCCTATTAGATCACATTCTGATCTTTGAACTACAGCTCTGTAACAGCAGATTCCACAGCCATCTTTATGAAGTGCTTACCATAAGTTGGTTTGTACGTTGCTTGCAGTGTGAGAGTGCCGAGCCAAGTTACTCTACACAGTCGAATCAAGTTGTCGACTGTACAAGCAGTTAGTTTGTGTATAAAAACCATTCACGCATTTTATCACTGCTAATTCAATGTCCCCGTGATACATGTGCAATACTTTAAAGGCACCAATGATCAAAGACAAGCAATTTACTCCTGTCTACAACGCAATGACCAAGTTTCACAGTCGTAAAATCTGCAGCACACTGCCACGTTGTAGACCCTGTCTTTCACTGACAGGCCGACCAGAGAGATGCCTAGGCTTAGGAAAAGGGCAATGGACATCAAGGTTTCTTGCATTCACTTTGCCGGTAAAGCTGCTGTCTGATGTGATACAGACAGACACAAAGGTAAACCTGTCCACTATCTCCTGGGGGTTTGAACGTCTTGGAAACTATTCTCCCAGTTTTAATTGCACTTTCTACACTGAAAGTGAAAACTGCATACCAAAATGTATGGCAACATTATGCAGATTACTTGATGTTTCGCATCTGGATGAAATCTGAATTAATTGGTGCCACATGGTCTGCATACTCCAAAGCCTTTTGATCGTTCCCGGGAAGAAGTTCCACAACCGTGGCGAAATCTGTAGCAAATGTTTCTCCACTAACCATTTTGATTAATAAGCTGAAGAGGAATGGTGACCAATAGCATTTGGAAGGCAATTCTTGTGCTAATTAACTTACAAAAACGTTCCTCGTAGACTTCCTCGTGTCGATAGGCTCTGGAATATAAGGATTGTTGATGTGTGGCGAAAATTTTCAGCGCACTTTTGAAGGAGCAATATCGCCACAAAACAGTGCGGTCGACGAAGTTTAGCACCGCTTTCACACCTAAAAATATAACAATTACTGACCTCCTAAATGTGTGACGGTGTTTGAGATGTTGCACTAAACCGAATGGCTTCCTTCACTGATGGAAAAAAGTTGCAACCCAGGCACAAACCATGCCAAGATCTTAATCCGAACACGTCCCTTCATTTCTCTTTGCCAGTGGCAACATTGCTACTTCTATGAATACAAATATACTGGCTCTGTGAAATCATCGTCAACTATTCTATCGAAACTTTCGAGTTAAAAAACAGCATTCCAGCACAATGTTAGAGTATCCTTTTTGGGAGACAAAAAAATCCTGCATGCCTGAAAGCTAAATATAAAAATTTCGCCCATTGTGTTTTAATAGAAGACAACAAAAAGCGATTTCTCGCCCAGGTTGAAGTCAGACTAATCTCGGCTTTCTTAACTCCATCATTTACAGACAGAGATCAGCTGCATTTCACAGCACCACAATTGTTTCTGCTGGATATTTCAAACAACCTCGTTACACAACTTGGTTCAAACAATCGTGTTGGAGACTTTGTCCTTCCTCTTGGAAGCATCATTTTATCAGGCAATCAACTTATGGGACTTGAAGACTTCACGTGCGTGGATTATGTGGCGACGCAAATCGACTTCAGTTCAAACCTCTTGCAAGAGGTGGGTGGATGAATTGAACCAACAATTGAACTCATCGCCTTACATTTTGTAATTCAATGTTTGAGAATCCAAGATATTAGTGAAATGTACAAAGCTCTGGAACGATACTATCCATTTACCAAGTCAACGTTTCATTCTTCATAAATATGCCAATTGTACTTTACAACGAGGAATAACAGTAATATTTATGGAAGTGAGAAACCCGTAGCAAATATTGCGAAAAACAATCGTAAAGAACTAACTCTTTCACAAACATATGACTGAAATGAACGTAAACACTAAATCAGCTTGACGCCAAATACTTCTCATTTTCTCAAAGTTTTGCAAAGAAAAGGCTAAAGGAATGCACAAGAAACAATGGCAAATTTTTGCAGCTAGGCCAGGATACCCTAAGCTTGAATTCAATAAAGTAGAATGTAATCTTGTGTTCCGTGAATGGGGGCTAAAATGGAAAATTATAAACAAAGCCCGTTATTTAATAAGGCTTCCTTGGTAATGACAAGGATTTTGGCAGAACACAAACACAGCACCACGCTTTGTGAGATGTTTTCATCCCAAACATAGGTCATACACGTATGGGTCTTGCACGGGTCCTATTTCTGTGTCCTCAAAAAAAGACTACGTATGAAAACTTTTCAGACTGATTTCATTCATGAAGCAGGTCCTCAGTTTACTTCTGTAGCAGATTATGGCCTTTAACTCGAACATTCAACTCTATAAAAAGGTATTTTGTTTGATACCATCTGAGTTTTGTGCGACGGGCAAGAGCTACTGTCGGAGACCTAGAAGCCCACATTTTTCAGAGGATATCACTGGCTCAACCAGGAGCTGTGCGTTTGGGGTCATTCTAATGTTAATCGTCATTCCTGTGTTCGTTATCCTTTGATCTGCTCCGTTGGTCATCCACGGACTTGCCAAATGGCAGAGCACAACCCGCAGTAAAGCGATAAACCTGTTTCCCAAGGGTGGTAAGCTGGACTCTCTTATTAATACTAGTCAAATGCAATAAAAGAAAGATCAGCTTTCAGCTCGGATGTAAGCTGATAGAATGCCTTGTTTTGCAAACAACACCCACATTACCGGCATTTTGGTTTTCTTTCCTTCTGAATCATTCGTGAAAATGATGCCTTAACTTGCTTCAGTGCGGCTTTCATATACTGTAGTCATATTTCCTTTAGTTCATTATTCGAAGAACTAAAAAGCCTGTTGCGATTTGAGCTTGAAAATATGTCGTCATTCTCGGTACAAAGGTAAAATTTCTATAACTCCTCAGCTTCCTCCCGTTGGATTTCACGGACCGATCTTGAAGAAATTGACACTCGACCAAAACGGCCTGCAATCGCTTGACTCTCTTGCAGAAAGTTGGCTTCCCAATCTTGTTGAACTGAGCGCAAATCGAAACAGGTAAGGTCCTCTGATTGCGTAAGCCAACTGAGCACATATGCATATGAAATTGGTGGAGCGTAAATTATGCTTCCGAGTCGTTAGAAGTCATTCAGTAAAAATTACCAGCAAGCAATTTTCGGATACCGTAGTTAATATTCTAATTGAATTAGTGTCCGAACTTTATAAATGCTTAACTTTACTCATATTACAACACTGTCTATTCGAGAAAGATTGTGTGACTTGATCTGAGTATCTAGTAATCGTGTCGAAAAGGAACCATCGTTTAGAAGTAAACACCCAGTGAATGAGCATTTTTCCCAATTCCATCGATTCTTTGATAAACGAACTTCCAGCTTCAAACAATGCATAGTATCCAGTTTCCGAAATGGCATTCTTATCATAATAAAGTCAACTTTTTGGTAGTAATCCACCATGACGTCAGTCTAGCTTTGTCAGCCAACAATCTTGCCGAATCAATCGTTTGAATCTTGTCGATTCGTTCCAGTGGACAGCAATTGAATAACATCTGAAGACATAGTACATCAGTGCAATTGTAGCTAAAGTTTCCGAGGTACAATAAACAATATCCGCACATCAGCTGAGGAATTTTTCCCGAGGAAAGTGCCGCTTTTTTGGATGAGATACTATTGTTCCTCGTCCGCTATGATTTGATGCAGAAGCGCTCCAGGTAAATATCACACTTGGGATGTGTAAATCCTCTGGAGAAGCACCGTAGGCCGCAGTTGAACGATCCTTGTGTAACCCAGAAGACTTCGCATATACACATTAGCTGGATGTGACCTGACAGCTAGTAGTAAAACCACCTAGGACGATTCTGCACCGGGGAAGTCAAATATTAGTCCATAATACTATCCATCCAATCATCTTGACATAAAGTTCTTTTTAATAAGATCTAAGTAGTATTTTATTTGTCTGTGGAAGGGAAACTTTTCATCACTGGTTGATTCTTAATAAACAGTTGTGCGTGCTACGCAAGGTGCATTATATATATATATATATATATATATATATGAATTCCTTATAAGTTCAAGTAACGTATAGTGCGTGATTGTTTTCACGTCACTATTTCTGAAACAATACCCGTTCAAATTATCACGACGAGGGTCAGAAGTCAAGTTGGAGGTGCTCATGTTGGATGGGGACCTCGGTCTTTTGGATGAGGGCCCACATGCTTATCCACTTGATCGTTCGGGCCGAAAAAAACATAGTGTGCCTTGTCTTTAACTGTGCCGTAATTGACTACGCTTGTACCGAGTAAAGTTCATTCATAGATCCTCCAGACATTCGTCACGTGTAAGCCCAACTCCATCATTATCTGATGGTCAGCCAAATAATTTACCATCCCGTCCGACGACGCCTGTCACCTCTCAATCAAGCCCATATTTTCTAATTTGTGTAGTCGTACGTGACCGTCACTAAATTATTTATGAGATATAGCTACTGAAGTAAACGCACTGAACCATAGGCACACCATCGCAGTACTCGAATACTATGCTTCACACTGTTGCTGGTGTGTGTCATGAAGCCTGTGAGACTTGAACTTTAGACCATCCATGTCGTCTAGAAGTCCAAGGGATGAAAAGACCCTCGTAGTTCTTTTTTTTTATTTCTTCAACCTCAGGGCCTGAAGAGCGTAAAGAGCACGGGTAACACATAGTAATCCATTTGTCTGTCCCAGTCAAAGCAAACGAGGTTTAGCAGCCGGTGTCCATTTACAACAAATGATCAGTAACCGTGAGCTGCCAGTTTACTCATGGTCTAGGTTCTCATACGCCACACCTGTCATATTTTCTGAAATGGCGGACATTTTTCGCTTACTCAGCCTGTTTAAAATTTTTAGAGAAACTGTTGTTTATGATGTTATCCATCCGAATTTCCACCGCAAAGACCACTTGAGGCTATGCCCATCTGATTAGCCCCAAAATCCAGTAGTGAGCCTTTGACGAGGTCTCATCATCTTTTGGTGATAAGCATATCAGCACATCATATAAGCTGCGCTGAGTACAGCACTGAGACTGCCAGAAAAAGGGCAACATCCTCACAGTTACTGTTAGTTCTGACTTAAAACAGAGAAGATCCAGTGTCTAGATGTTATCCTCCTGGTATCGACTAAAGTTCTCCGTTAAACTAAGATCAGCCGACCAAGACTAGTGTTACGTTACTCTGGAGAATAAATAATTGTAGTGCCCCGTATGAAATCATTAGCCAACGACTGATTCGGTCGAAGGAATCCAACTACAGGTTAAGGTTGGGGACCGGCCAGCTAACCTGTAGTCACTAGCCCGTGCACGGGGTCACACGACCACCTCCTTCCACGTCCACTAGAGTTAATGGCCTTGTTTTACTGGGCTTTTTAAAATTTGGCAACATCTTTTCTATTCGGGAGCATCATAACCTCTCCAAGCAGCTGTCACCTCAAGTTTGTCAATAATAAGTAAGTGCAAAGTTTTCAAATTGGCCATTTTCCATGCCTGTTTGCCTCACCTTCCATTCTTTTCCAGCATTACAACACTTCCTCGTATCCATTGTCCGAGGCTGCAAAACTTCCTACTGCAAGATAATCGAATTTCCGGTGAGCTAATTACCTCTACCATTAGCTTCAACACAACTAGGGGAAACAGTCGAACTGCATTTTCCGGCTTTTTCACTAGTGACTACTCATACTGGGGAGTAGATTTATTCAGTAGCCAGATAGACCACTCCAGTTCTTTTGCTCCCCTTTATCTTTCACACCTCAGAGCACTGACGTTCAGCCAGTAGAACATGGCTCGCATAGCTTGGATTTGTCTGCGTTCATTAGGTTATGTTAAACTACCTCAACGGTTGCCTACCGGCATCTTGCATGGCGTCCAATGATGAATGGCGGAAACCACCAAGAGGATAAATTATAACTTATCAGTATTATAAAGACTAGAACGAGCAATCCGTTGCCATCTACCTTTAAGGCAGGGTTTAAAATTCTCTAATTGAGGCCCTTCAAAGTGCATACACATACCGATCTCAAGGGAAATTCCGTCAAAAGCAGCAAGCAAGTGCAAAGAGTTTACAGTGAGCCCTTCTTTCATCTGGTTGCATTCTTTTATGACGACCAAAATTTCAAAGGGACCAAGACAGATGCACATCCGCTGATTTATTTTCTTTTTTGAACGGTTTAATCGCAAAACTTCTACCAGCAATAGGGGTAACGTTACTAATGCGTTGTGACGGTTAATGGTTTCGCCGCAGATACTGTTGAAACGTTTGCAACCATACTTGCCGGCCATTCTAGCAAAAGACCCGTAACTATCAAGCCAGCATTATCCGCAATAAAAGGCTCTTTTTAATCCAAACTGGTGATGTTCAACAGTGGTAGTGATTACATGATTAAGCACCAACCAAGTTCAAAGCAATCTATGAAATTTATGAAATAGGAGGCATAAGCCTGCAAATCAGCTGTAGCTTAAAGGAAGGGTGAAGCGTCGCAGTGAACAAGGAGCACGAAATTATGTCTGTTCTGTTTTATCTAGTCTTCTAGTGTTCTATGGTGAAACAAATTGGCGCGAACAATTGTGAGAATAAAGATTAAATTGAGCACCATTAATAATCTGATGCCTTTGATTCTCTATCACGTTTTGCCATTTGTGACCAGTGACTTAACCTTTCTCCATGGTTTGCAGACATCAGCAATTTGGCAGAAATGTTCAATCTTATGCCAGCATTGTGCAACCTCGATCTGAAAAATAATCCATGTACCGTTATCGCATCACATCGGTGAGCTACGAAGTAAAGTTCTGTTCTGATGTGTATAGTTTCCTGTTGTGTTGATTGTAGCCATTACAGCACATTGTCGGTTGGTGAATAATTTCCCACATGAATGTTAATTTTGAAAAACTCAAAATTTACCGCAGGCTCATGAGAAATTATTCTTTGTATACTACTTTAAATTAACGCCATCTATATACCTATAGATGTCTATATGCCTACTTCGGGCCACTTGCTTAACAGACAGACACTTCATGAGGTTCAGGTGGAGTTCTTTGCTCAGATGGGCCCGGAAAGCGTACTGTTACAAACAGGATAAATTCGACTGAATATCCGTTTTTCTTGCTCTGTGACGGTGCCAATTATCCGTACAATGCTCTCAGCTGCAGAACCTTTACAATTGGAGTAAAACTTTCTGCGCCAAAATGTTGCATTTTGTTCCGTATGTGCTCAAGCCAAAAACCGTCCTAATCTACTTTCAAATTTTTGCAGCTCACCAAATTTCATTGTTCACTGAAGCAGCCGTGCCTCTGGCCGAAAAGCCTTGTGGGATAATTTCCCAGCATCACTTAGACCCCGGTATGGGGTTTGGAAGTTTGGACTGGTACTCTCAACTCAATTACCCGATTGCTTTACTCCATCAGGGACACATCATAACTTTCGAAAATTCGATTCCATTGTGCGCCCCCCTCTGACTATGAATTTTGAATAACCCAGTTATAAATAAGACACGTATATCTGCGTATATAAATGGATTATCTAAGCAAACTGGATTTTGTCTGCTTTCAAAGGTGTTTTTTAAACTTGTGCGGATAATACGTGGTACCAATTCGCAAAAAAACTATTTGTCTGGTTGATTAATATCTGTTTATGCATCCTAATTTCAGAAAGCCTTCACATTTGGATGCCCTGATTTCGAGGTCTAATAACGAAGGACTACAGTCAGCTGTGGAAAACACCGGGCCTTATTTGCTATACGACCACTTACACATGAACCGGTGAGTTTGTTCTGAAAAAAAGACGTATCCTCCCAAATCTATCTATATGACTTCGTGTATTAGGATTGTGACACAGAGTCACGTATTCATCTAATTCTAATTGTTGGTATAGTGTGCGTGGCCAGCAACAGTTATAGGTTTAACCCGGAGCGCACCTCTTTTACGTGTGCTATGCGTATTTGATCTACCGATTCCCTTCAGGAAGAGGGAAAATTTTCAAAAGAACATTGCTCTCCTGCAGTTTTCCAGAAGAAACTATCGTCGTCCAAAGTAAAATGAAACTGGCACAGCTATGAGAGAAATCACAGTCTACAGTTACTGTCTTTTAGCCGCATAACTGACCTTTCTGTCAACAACAAATCAACTTGGCCTGAGCAGTTCAACAGATGGTGCTGCAAGTGCCTGCCCTACAAGTCGTTTGTCAGTTTACCAATGGGTTCAGACAAACAGACAAACACAAACTGTGGAGTTTGTGTGAGCAGGTATCGGAACCTGAATCTTGCTACTTAAACAGACGATGGAAGCAAGGCTAGCCTAGGTTCGGAATTCCGCGTAATCGATTGTCAGACGTATCCAAGGCGCCGATCACCATGATCACTCACGCGCATCGTTGAGGTTATTATTTCAAATCAACACGCCAAGACCTTCCTATTCATCTCTTATCAACTGAGTCTATCTGCTCAGAAGACTTAGGTTCGCGCCATTAACTTGCCTTGTCAGTGAAATAGGCTGACTAATTCAGTCTCTCAACTTGCTGCTTCATTTTTGTACGGCAGTTGTATCGCTTTTGTTATGTGGCTGACGATGTCAAAGCAAAATGCGAGCATTCAGCAAACTCTGTACTTTTGCTACCATAGTCATGATATTGACCCTACAAACATTTCGCACTTTTAATTTCGGTGTTTTTCTAACAGTTAGGGTTAATTTGAATCGGTAAACAAGTTGTGACCTGTCTAGTTCGAAAACAAGTTACAGCGTTACTGTTGACGCTTGTTTAAGACTGGTTGAGCTCCTGCAGATTCGCTTGCACTGTACTATCACCAGTGAAGCAGACCTTCTTCTTCCGGGAACAGGGGGTCTGTTTCCAAGGCCTCATAACTAGACTGAGGAAAGGAAGAATAGTTGAGGTTCACACCTGACGTGAAGTAGGCAGCAATAGAGATAACAAGTTGATTTATCATAAAGTCCATCTAAATTATTTCGGCTGTCCCTATCCTGCTTGTCATGATCCTCTGGCGCTGTGACAAAAAACAGAGCAGTATTATATGAGCATGCATAGTCACATTCATTTTCGGTTAAGGGTTCAGGATACACTGACATGTATGTAGTTTTTTTGGGAAGATTTCTTGCTTTGTGTGTTCTGTGAGAATACCCTTAACCCGGTTGCTGACTGCTTCTCAAACTCAGGTAGTACTCATGATACATAACAAAATGATATGAAAGGAAAATGACCGGTCCAGATCACGATTAAATCTGTTCACACTGAAGGAAGTCACTTTTTAGCCACGATTATGTGACAGTTGATGTAATATACACTAGTTTTTTTAATTTCAATACGGTATTTATGGATTTCAGCGGGCTTTGTCCTCCGTTTACAGATTGTTCGGATAAGCGGAATTTACCATGTGCCTATACGGTTACTTTATTGATGCCACAGTCCGGAGAGGCGAGCAAAATTTTCCAGTTGTGCGTAGAAACAACACCTTTCTGGTTATTGCCTGCCAGTGGAATTGATATTCCTGACCTCCACTCCGAATTTTCCACTAATTTGTATTTTTTGTCTGGTACACTCCTCTCCGTTTGTCGTTCTTTTCACCAAATTTGCTTTGGTGAGTTATGTCACTGGATATATCTTTGTCTTATTTGTCCTCACCATCATCTTCTTCAAGGTAAAACGGTCCAAAATCTGGCACAGGTTACTGTCCGATCGGGGTTTATTCATGGCAATAAATAACTCGTTGGCTACTGTGAAAAAGATGTTCAACCTTCGTAGTCGACTTGAAGGACTACGTAGCAATAATGACTTTAGACCTCAGAGTCTCGAAACACTAAGAATACTTCTTCTCCAGCGTGACTTTCCAGATGGGCTTATAAGGGATCGATCGAACGCTTCCAGATGGTTAACCAGTGGATAAGACATTCGCCAATGTTAAGTCATGGGCTATGGCTACCTGACAAATCCAAACCAATGCACACTTTCACAATTTTCCTGCCTGAAAATCCAAAATAAACTAACAAATTACATTTCATGTTTTTTTACGGTAACAGCAGCTGTCGCAGGTAGGACATAGAAATTACGTTGGCAGCTCGGGCTGGGAAACTGATGGTTCAACTGTTCGCTGGAATTAACACTGGCGTCGCCTTTGTGCTCTCTGTAGTCGGGACAATAAAATCAGTGCGTGATGGTTTATCATTGCACCAGTGTGACGAGCATTTTTAATTTCAAATTCTGGCCCGATTTATGTGGAATTAGTTTGTCATGTTAATAACTGAGATTGTTCTTTGTTTGTGGACAGGACTGTGGGCATGAGCTATCGTTAATTTAGTTATGTATTTACCATATTGCTCGATTATATCACACCTGGATGAATCTAGGTGTGTTTGAAACCTGGTATAAGGACACTTTCTTGCAAGAACTCTTGAGCAACTTAGAACCACTCGCTTGCATATGCTTGTCAAAGGACAGAATGCTTTCAGCCAGATCATGGTGCCTTGGTGTATGAACAAATAAGTTAGATGTAGTGGGCAACTTTGGTAGCTTAAACTGCGGTTTAAATGAATAAATAGCTTTCCAGCTCAGCTTCCATTCCACACTTATAGGGTCATTTTTATTGGTGACGAAGCGGTTTTGGCAGAAATGCCAAGCTCCAGGAGCGGTTCAATGATCCATATTCCACACGTGCTTTGTAGACCAAGCTCGATATCGAGCGTTTCTAAGAGCGGGGCGCTGCCAGCTTCATGTCTTAGGGAACTATACATACTTTGTCTGTTCACACAACGTAAGTCAGATTACTTGAAGCTTCGTGTTATGAGTTGAGTTACCACTGGATTTGTATGCAACAACATGTATGTATGTCTGTAAATTTAACAGTCTTTCAACTTGTTACCGTTTTATTTTTCGACGTTTTTGGGCCGATGTTTCCATTTGTTTTTGTTGCTGCCAGTGCTTCTCTAGTTGTTTTTATGCGCATACTAAAGCTTTGAAATCCGGCCTATCATTTTGTCTGTTACAGCTCGCCACACCAATATTCTGAAGAGTCCCAACCTACTGTTCGGATACATGTATCCGACCATTCAGATAAATTTGCCAGTTTATCTGAATATTTTGCAAACCTTGTTTGTAAAACAACTGGTGTCCGATTACAAATCGAGCATTTTGCTCCAACGGCCAACGTGATTGAAAATCACCAAATTCTACTAGTTGACTGTGTCAACAACGTCCTTAATGACTACAAAAATCTGATCCCAGAAGTTTATTTTTACCACGTCGAACAAACTGGACAGTCATTGGATGAAGCACGAGAACAACTAGGTTATCCCAATGAGTTTGGTTCAGCAAATCCTGATGGCAGTACGAGCTCCGTACTAATTGATGAATCTGATAGGAAAGCCACAGGGCCCAGAAAGTAAGTGGCTGTTCAATTCACTTCCTTCACTTTTTTCTTTTCACTATATCGGTAAAAAATTACTATCTTATCGTTTGCAAAAGGTCTATTGCATCAAAATTCTGTTTTTTTTTTGTACCACAACACCATATGAGTCATTGACGGGCAAGATAGGTTCCTGTCAAGTCACCATAAATCTTCTGCCTAGTTTTCTTCGACACTGCTTTAGAGCCACTATACAACGGTAAAATCTACTTTTCGTGCTTATTCTGAATTTATCCCCCAGATGCGTTACTTGCTGTCGCAAGCTTTGCACAACACTAATACTTTAAACTTGAATTCTTCACTGATATCACTCCATGAGTTATGCACTAGCCAGATGAAAAGACGCTAATTTATCGCTAAAGGTAAACTGAAAGTAGACTAAAATAGTTTATTTATTGGTACACTTGATCGAATCGGAATAGGTATTGACATCAAACAGTTGGTGAGCCGCCAAAATTTTCTTTTCAGACCTGAGCCCTCCATACTGGTTTTAGGTCACAAAATGGTGCGTTTGATTTTCTACTGCATGTCTGTACTAAATTCGCGCTTAGCATTTTGGAATCTCAGAGTCCAAAACAGTTTTGACCGTTCAGCAGTAATCAGAGTACGTTCAGTCTTGCGAGCCATTTTCAGTAAAACCGGCGATAAAAAATTTACGAAGTTGGTGTTAAAACAGATACTTTGTTAGGACTTACTATGCAATGCACGGCTGCAATTTTTCATCATAATTTCCCTGAATTCGACCCAACTGCTAAAAGTTAGATCGCAGTCCATCTGAACGAAAGTTCATTTCACCTGGATTTCCATAAGGTTTTCGCCTCTATCTTAGACCGCGTATTGATATAAAGCACTTTGAAATTGACTATTACCCAACAGATGCAAGTGAAACGTATGTATACGCTGGTGCTTGATATGAGGTCAATCGTACTGATCTGCCGCCTGAGTGATAAACCATTTTCAACTTAACTTTAGGGTGGACGAACCGACAGTAAGCTCGAATGCAAACCAGAAGGTGAGTTCCAAATATGCCCCAATATTTTGCTTTATACCTTGAGACTTAGAGGTTAGCTACAAAACTGAGCCTGGAGTGAGCTTGGAGTTGAACGCTCGATATCCAACAAGCGTCCCGATAATTCAATAGACAAATGACATCACTCCCTTCAAGTGTAGACTAACAAAAACAATACCTTCAAGTGTCATTTGATCTTTTTATTTTTCTTCTAATACCATTCTTTATCATTTGCACTAATTGCAGTATTAAAATGGGGAGTGTTCTCAGCGATCTTGCAGTTTGGTTTGTACTTCTTTCATTAGTTCGTGACAGCGCTTCTGCTAAATCTAGTTAGGTTGCATGTTGTTTAGTTTCTTATCCAAACTTCAATATGTCTACTAGTAGGGGGTCCAGTAAGCCGCGATGGTCACGTGAAGTTTCAGACCTTCTGTGAATTCCTTCGTTTACCAACTCCACTTATTAGTTAATGGTCTCTACACCCAGAACACCGTAATTTTCTAAAAGCTAGTATGCCAAATGTGTATCACTGAAATCCTATGACGCATCTAGCATGTATCAGCAAAATCAATCTCTTTGCTTAGAAAACTTCGTTCACAGCGCCTACCTGAGCAAATACATTGTAGTTGGTGTGTATTGTTCAAATGAAAATAATTTATTCCCAAATTTTGACTGAGTAGCGTTCAGCAGAGATGGTTTTAAAGCAAAACAAAGATTGCGCCATTCCATTTGCGGCTGAATATTTAATCACGTTAGGGTTTGCAGCTTTGACAAAAGCTATGCTCGAGCTCTCCAATAAATTTTGTATCTCATGCAAACAAGGTGTTTCTGTGTTATTTTACATAAAATTGTTAATTCCCTCATCTGTACCTTTTAGGGAGTGTCAGAAGATCAAATTGCGGAGCCGTCCAAAATGAGCCTGGGTAGTGAAACAGATCTCGATTGTTCGATTTCTAGAGAGACTTCAGTTTCAAGCAGTTACTGTATGGATGGAAATGAAGTGTCCAGCTGGATAAATTTGCTGAAAGTAAACATCAATATTATTTTAAATATCAACCGTACTAACCGTACTAACCGTACTACAAAAATACTAAACTACAAAATTCGGGATAAAACAATTCATACGCTGTTAGCGATTATTGAGGAGTACGTCAACGTTATTTTGTCTTGTTTGAAAACGTTCAATATATTTTAAACCTGAAATTGTAAGTTATCGAATGTGAAACTGATGTTTACCTGTAGTTTACTTACGTATGCATACGACACACAGCGCTGATAGGGCTAGCATAAAAAAGCCGAAAATGCGCAGAGTCGAACAGACGAGTGGAATATCCGTCACTGGTTTGAAACAGACGGAAAATCTCCACACAGAAAAGTAGATACCAATTACAGTAACTCGACCAACAAATAAAGTCCACTCAGAGATACCATGTTCTAGTTTGGGGGTATTGTTTTCCTTTGCACCTAATTTTCAGTGGAACGTTAATTCACACCCTTGACTCCAGATGACATTATATCAAAAGATCATACCCAGTCAGGCGATAACTAGGTTCTAATTTAAAACTTCCCCTCGTAAATTGGTAACATCTACCTCACCTATGTCATAACTGATACGCGCTACCCCCAAAAACTGAATTCTGAGAGCACTGTTTTCGCTAAATTTGATGGATATAGCACAGCTGCTCGGGGAATCAACTTAGAAAACTACATTCTTATTGGAAGATCAATTTGAAGTATGTTTGAGATTGTCCCGTTGTGACGTTTTTACGGAATGCTTAAGGCCGAAGCACACTGTAGTGGAATATAATATTGTAATCCGATGTTTCGGATGGATAAACAGTGGGAAAAAGTCTGTCCGTGGTCCCAGAAATGTCAGATTATAAAGTCTTGCTGTATTTTGACTTGAAGCTTTCTACATAATGTACACATGACGTTAAGTTTTTTTTATTAACACACAAGCCGAGTTTGTTGCGCTTTTGCTTGGATTAGGCCTCGCATTGAATTTGCTGAGAAGTCGGTTGTTGGCGGCAATTTGAATAACCGTTCCAAGCTATTCACCGTGCTTGCAAAGGATCTGCCGATTACCAGTCTATATGCTTGGGGTAGTTACAATCGAGGAATTAGTATTCCCAGCCATCCACTTCTACTTTGTAATTTCGCGATTAGTTTTTGTGCAGTATCTTGTGCATTGCAAGTCTGCAAAAAAATCTTGCATGCTGATCACATATCACGGAACGTTATCCGTTCAACCATTCGAATCAAAAATTAAACAGTTCTTCCTGTTGTGGAGCTGCCTAGTTATATACAGCCCAGATAAGTTATCATTACTTAACGTAGGATCCAGTTTCATCATTAACGTATAACGCTGCCCCCATGGTCATCATATTATTGCGAGGTCTTGTAGTATTTTACCCTTGTTTTTTCCGAAGCTATGGGCAAATGTTTGTTCTCATGAAAGGACTGATTCATAGGGCAAAATAGCGGTAAGGTGTGTATTTTGTGTCAAAATACAAAAACTTAAGCGGCAGTTGATGAAACTTTTTGAAGATTTAGTACAACCATGCCTCTGAGCATTTTATACCTAGTCTGTGACTTGGTATTCACGCATGGTAAAAGAGCCTAACCTAAAAGTCTAGTTCAAACTTATCTTCAAACTTTTCTGATTATTTATTAACCGATGTACTTACCCCATTGTTTCCATAGCGTTGAACCACAACTTTTCCAAAAAACGACCAAGTTACTTTATAATCCCAAAACTCACACTACTGACCAGCTGTTAGTAGCTCAGAAGAAGGATAAAATTTACCGATAAATTAAGCTTTCAGCAAGCACGTGTGACCGCTAGATGTGATCTTGAGTGAAGGACGAAGAGCACTGTATCCTGCCTAAGTGCTAATTAATTACGCCACTGATGAGCCGCTTGTGGACGAACATTTTTGTCTAAATAAATGAACGGGTGGTCGTGGGTTCAAAACACCCTGGAGTTTCGTGAGAAACGCACCTCTGATGATTGCCAAAGAGGATGAAACAACTATATAGTGCTCCTCGGCTTCTTAGCATAGATCGGCTCCACTTACGAGACAGTACCTCGCATCTTGACCTCAGTTTCCTGTTTTTACGTAAATATCCATATATTTTCTTCGTCTACAGGCCAACCCTTGGAAAACTTACTGTATAGTCCGTACTATCTTCACCAGAAGCGACAATTTATCAATTCTTCTGAATTGCCACTACGATTCTCACACGATCAGATTCACCTGATCATTCCAATGAGGTAGTTCAAAGAAAGCTGTGAGCTAGGGAAGAGACGCTGCCTCGAATAAATATTCTGTGGCCAGAAAATTCCCAAAGAAGGCTTCACAATCACCCTTCTATAAACGTCACCATTCATTGGAGTGACAGTCATCGGTTGGTTTACGAGGTTCTTCATGTGGTCAGAGTTATGTCTGTTCAAGTCCTTATAAACGATTGATAAAGTCGAAGGACCAGCCAATGTCTTATAAGAACGGTTCATTCCTATCACTTCAAAAAATGAATTGGAGGTCAATCATTTAGTGTCAACGATGAATGGTAACTATACTTGCTCCTCTTAGTACGCTAGACATCAAAACTTATCCTAGGATGTGAGAATTTTTTTCAGAGACCAACACTAGGCAGGACCACTTCATCTGGTGTCCAGTTCTCCATGAAAACATATCAGGGTCACCTAAACCGGTGTAGATATTTCTAGTGCAGACCGTTATTTCTTACGGCAGCATTAATTTCTGTTCCCGTTTATTGGGCAATAAGTGCAGATGTTATGGCTGTACGGGGTTGGGATACTGCCAGGGCGCCAACACCTAGACAAGAAGACGATTTTGTTCCTCAACCAAAGTCTTTGGCTCCAAAGCCTAACCTCAAGGTAGCGGCGTTGGGCTGGAAACGCAAGTACATTACCATTTCTTACAAAACACGTCGCCACGGGTATTACC